GGTGACCGGTGCCTGTAACCGGTGCCCGACCGGGCTGGGGTGTGTGCGCGCTATCAAATTTAAAACAAATTTCTACAGATTGAAGTAAAACTTGACTGTTAAACAAATGGCTTTTTGTATATTAACAGGCAAGTGCAACAGCAAAGCCCTGTCCTAGTGGTAAAGGTAAAGCCGTGCTCACAGCCATCCGGAGGCATCGCTGACAAATACCAGCTCCTGCATCCACCTGCACTCTGGAAAAGTTGGGAATAAAGTCACATACCACTGCAGCTTCTCCATGGCCAGGCACTGGTCTCTTTAGTTTGTAGCCGGCGATGTCAGTCTTCTCTCATCCAACCTAAATGCTAAGATGACAGGAACCTCTCCAGCTCTACGAACTGCTTAACCCATAGCAGTTTTGGTATGTAGCACTCCTGTACAACAGGAGAACAAAATAAAATACCCAGCTGCCTGAGAGAGAAATAAACATCAAAATTACACTTTGGAAACTGTCAGAGAAACCCGTACCCAGACTACCCCCCTTCCAAGTTTGCAAGGCATCTCCCCCTGTGAAGTAGCTCCCCCCATCTCACTTTTCTAAGCAAGGTTTATTTTAGATGCACATCTAGATACTTGTGCTGAGAAAAACAAGTCTTTTGGCCTCAGAGAATATGTATGTCCACTTACCCACTGCAACTATTCTCTTCAGGAGAGCGCCTGCTGGTTAGTTTCCCTTCAACAATCATTAGTTCACGTTTTTGTTATATTGCTTATCAGTATACACAAGATGGGAAACCTGTTTTCCAATTCAGTTGAGAAGAGCCCAGTATAGAATCCAACTTGAAGGAATAGATCCCAACTTGTACAGAAACTAGGTGCTGACCCTGAAGTTCAGAAACTTGGAATAGACAGGGAGCAATTGCTCTAGGGAAGTAATTAAGTTACAGCCTTGAGTATTCTAGAACCTACATGCTTGAAAAACCTAGAAAGGCAATATAGATCTCACCCTCCAACCCCTCAAACGCTGCTATCAGCTTTAAAAAGCTGCTGCTGTAGTTTTAGGTCCCTCCCTCGAGATGCAGGAAGTGGGTATTGTGCCACACCCCCCTCCTCTTTTCCACAGACTGTCATCTTCCACAGTGCTGTTAAGGCACTGTAGCATGCTCTTAGGACAGGTCAGGAGGAGGAGAGGGTTGTACTGACCTGTTGACACAGCAACCTTATCATTTATGATCTCCAGAATGGTACCTCCCCTTCTATACAAGTAAAAGTACAGTTATACCACTGAACTGACAGCAAACAGCAGGACTACACATTCACTTAAGTAAGCATTTATTAGAGAATCCTTTAACATGAAATTATACAAATAAAGTTTGTATAAACACAAGTCCACATTGTCTCATAACATGAATGGCAAAAAGAAAAGTAAAAACCATAAAAGAAAACTAGTCAGCCGCTATGTACAGTTGGACACAGTTGTGTCATACACTAAAAGTCTTTTACAAAATAGCCATTTCCTTTCATGAAGACCACCATTCACGATGCGCTGCAAGATGGCTTTGTTGCAGTATCTCTACCTAAAAATCAAGACAAAATATATGTCAGATCTGTGCAAGTTACTACAAGAATCGTTAAAAGGTCCATTTTCATGAACTGCTTTAAGTCTTCTATATATTCCTTTCTTCACTGTTAAAGATCATATGCATATTTATTAAGGTAACAAAAGGTTTTGTTACCCATCAGTAATTTTGTATTCCCAAATATATCCATTAAGCCCATTTAGGAAGCTGCTCCAGAACACAACACACATCCAATTTAGACTATTAATCAGGCTCTGGATCAGTTTTTTCCCCACTGGAAACACTGCCAAAAGGGTTTCTGATTATTTATCCCATCTAAACAACTGCTGTGCAAACACAAGGCAGGTTGATTTAGTTCAAACAGTCCACATGCGTATGATCTTTAATGTTTTTCCAGATTTAAAAGTTCGTTTTGGTTTGCAGATTTCACTATTAGCTATAAAAAGAAAAAAGCAAGCATTAAATCTTAAAGAATGCACACTTAAAATGAGGTTCCACAATTGAAATACAACACTAAACAGAAGACCAAATGATTAAGCTGTAAAGGCATTTATGTACTTTAACTCCTGTAAAAAACCATTTAAGTTAAGACACTTAATCTCCAAAAAGATTAAAAAAAAGAAGCCAAAGTCTGAAGTTTTCCACTTTAATCTTTACGCTGGTACATGAAGTTGGAAGAGACCATACCACAGGACAGCGTTTTCTGGTGTATGCCTTGCGCTCTGCCTGCAACGTGCGACCCCAGAGATAGACGTGGTCAGGGTGACACACGGCCTGCAATGAAGTTCCCGCTGGCGGGTACAAACAAGGTATAATGTCAGAGTTAGAAGACAACATTCTTGTTTTCCTTAAGTTGTACCCATTTCAGTACTTTACCTGTTAATACTTCTAATAAGTTTAATTATTCCTCTAGACCACCTGGTACACAACGCAAAACAGAAAAACTCTTATGTTTTTCTGAAGTACTAAAGAAGATAAAGTCACATTTTTATAAAGTTAAAGATCTATAGACACTGTAGGCAAAGCTGGTTTTAAAAAAAAGTATTTTTTTAAGTTAACAAAAGCTTAATTAAAGGAAAAGTCATGCTACACAAGTTTTTACTCTTCATTTGTCTATTGATCTTTAAATTAGATTAGACATACTCAGAGTGGACCTTGCACTCATGTACACACCTGTTTCCTCAAGTACTAGGTACTGCTTTAGTACGGCTGGTAGTTGTTTTGGTGATTGCCGCCACCACGGGATGCCTTTCCGTATGTGCTTTGTTGACCTGCAGATAACACAGGGGGCGGGAAAAGCATTAACATCAGACACTCTGAAGGAGATTGTTCCCATACAGTACACCAACAGGGCTGATCTTTAGAGCTTGTATTAGGAATAGGAGGTGTTACAGAACAAGTTACTAAGGGCAGCCCCCGTTTAAAGATTCATGCTATTCTTATCTGGAACAAGATCAAAACCACTTACCACTGTAATCTGTGTATCCCGGCCCATATCCATAATTGGGATAGTTGTACCCAGAGTAGTCATATCCTCCATAGCCACTGTAACTTTGATCACTGTAAGCGCTATTGTAGTTTCCATATCCTTGATCATAGTAGTTATTAAATCCTTGATTCCAGTTTTGTCCCTGACCTGAAACCAAGTATAGCATTTATAAGTTACAGAACATTATTTCACTCCTCTCCTGTGCTACTTGATCTAACTTTCTACAGCAATTTTTCTATGCCAGAACTATTACCTGGCAGAATTCTCTTACCTTCCTAAGAATCCAAGAAAAATATTCTAAAAAGAACTAAGGAATCCCATTTGGATATGAGAGATGGGTCATAAGATTTTAATTAACCACAACAGGAAGTCAGCAGGTAGTTCTGGTCATAAAACGGCCAGGAAAAAACACAACACTGAAGGTGCGCACTACAGCAGCTCCTGCTGTTTTCCTTTAACTTCCATTTTGGATCATTAATTGCCTGAAAACCAAGTTAATCCACAGGATCAGTTTTACTGTGTTGTTGGTTGTGACTGCTTGACTTTTTAAGACTTGAGATGCATTAACCTGTGACATAACAGCTGCTTGCTTCTCATTTATTTGCAAGGTGTAACAGTGACTATCTTGCTCTTCAGTGAGCAGCTCGTGGTTTCACAACCATGAGCCAACTAACAGTGTATACCTTCGCATGGAAGAGTAACTGCCCTACACATGTAGCTATGCTGTCAGCTGTGGGTATACAGAAGCACCCTACACCCAGCTTACCACTTTACCACTTGAATGCAAGCAGAGATTCTGAAGCTTCCAGACACAACCACCAAAATACCATTTACCAACAGGCTACTTTCCATGTTCAATTTAAACATGAGATTTGCACACAGACCAAAACCTGGGAGGACCTACAAAGACCTCAATGTTTAGTACAGACACTTAAGCATTTACATTAATTTCAACATCCCAAACACTCACCCCGTCCACGCCCCCTTCCACCTCCTCGTCCACTAGCTGCATTGTTTTTTCCTCCTTTCTGTTGCTGCTGCTGTTGCCTGTATACCTCTTTGGGCTGTGCTACTTTGATCTCACACTGTAAAGACAGAATTGTTAACTCACCAAGAATTTCAAGACCATTTTGTGAGTTGCTTTCACAGAAGTCTACAGAAACAGTCTATTTTACACGCCAAGAACAAGAGCTTCCATACCTTGCCTGAACCAATTTGATGGTATCTGCTCTCTAATAACTTCTTTACCGGCTCTTCGTCTGTGTAAGTGATAAAGCAGAAGCCCCTCCTTTCATTCGTCTTTGTGTCCATTGGAAGCTCAATGTTTTCAATCTGAAATTAAAAGTACCTATCAATAATGCATGAAATCTGTAAGCAACTTTTAATGCTACCGCCCAAAGTCTTTGCCAACTGCATATCAGCCCATCACAATGCTATGGAATCATCAATATGCATATAGTTTCAACAATCCCTATTTTTATGTGTCTAACCCAGTGCTCTCCTCAAAAATTATTCCATCTTAAGACAGAGGCAACACTGCACTTGAAAACCATAACTGCTCTTATACACCATTAATACTATACCTCGCCAAAAGCTCCAAAGTACTCTTTAATCTGTTCTTCAGATGTATCTGGACTCAGCCCACCAACAAAAACTTTTTTGGGTGGCTCCTTCCCTTTTAGGGCTTTTGCCCTTTTAGGATCTATTAGCTTCCCATCCAGTTTGTGTTCCTTCAGTTCCAACACCTAAGAAGCACACAAGTAAACAAAGTCTCAGATTGCTACAGTGACACAAGCAGGCTTTGTGCCATCGATCCAGCAGAAATCCACCCACCTTCTCCACACTGGCAGCATCCTTGAAGAGCACGAACCCAAATCCCCTCGACCTCCCAGTGACTGGGTCTGTTTTAATTGTACAGTCCACAACCTCACCAAACCGAGAGAGATACTCTGTCAAGTCTTTCTTGCTAGTGTCCCAGCTGAGGCCTCCAATAAACATTTTCCTGGAACGTAAGAAGTACAGACCAATACATGTAAACACATGTGTACACACGTGCAAACGGCTGCAAATGCACGCGTGGAGCCTGGAGCAAGCCCGCTCGCGGCCGCCGCAAGCTAAAGCGATCGAGAAGCCGCCGCCGCCCGGCTCGGCTTGCAGAGGCAGACAGCCACGCCCGCCGCCGCAGGTATACCCCGAGGGAGCTGCCGCCGCTGTCCCGGCCCGGCCTCGCCGTTACAGACGGCCCGAGCCTGCGCGCCCCGGCTCCGGCGGCAGCGCAGGCCCACAGAGCCTGCCGGTGACGTCACACCCCCGGACTGGCAGCCCCCCCTCCCCTCCCCGCGCTCGCTTGTTTTAATGGCGCCGCCACCGACCAACCTAAAATGGCGGACGGAAGGAGGGCGGCGGGTGCGGTCATGTGACTCGGCCTCCGGGGAGGCCGCGCGGCGGGG